GAGTAGCAGAGGCAATAACAAGATGCAAACAATAGAGGAAGAAGATGAATATTGCAACTAATTAATATAATAATGGAAAGTGGGTCGGAGGAAGAAAATAAAAGTAAGTCAAAAGATTTTTACAAGTCTTCTACTTTCGAATTAAAAAAACTTTTGACCTAAAAAGAATTAAAGAATTATAATGTTTGTGGTTGAACAACAAATACCAGACGTGTCAGAGACGCTAAGTCTCAATAAATAATGAAAGGGTCCCGAATTTCTTTACCACAATTTGCTCGGATGTAAAAAGATAATAGGCTTTGGTAGAACAAGTGTGTAATTCTATTGAAGTGTTTGAAATTACATACTTAAAACTAAGAATTGAAAAGGGCTAGTAAATGTAAATTATGCCACTCTTGATCAAGTGTTGGCTAAGTTCTCTATTTTTTCCTTCTTTCTATTTATAGTGTCTAACAGCAGAAGCCTTTTCTTTGAGTCTTAACATGTTCTACTGAAGAATCAGGAATTATGCGAAACTTATGACACAGTCTCTCCATTTTGACCAACAATCCATTTCACCAAACTACTTAGGCATGGATTTCAGCATCGTTTAGGATCGTGTCTTCGCGCCAACGGTTTAATATTTGAAGTTGATGAGATTTCGGCATGTTTATGTGTTGTGGACTTTATTGAGATTCAAGGCCGGCCTCTTTTGTTTATATTGGGCTTGACATTTCGAATATTCAGCCCAACTAGTCTCGTGACTTATTTAAGCGACATTTCATATTTAGTCCAAACACATAATAAGCAGAATAATCACATGTTTAAATTGTGAATATATATATATATATATATATATATATAGTATAATTTATATTGTTGAAACTCCAAGCAATCAAAAAAATGCGTCTAGCTTACTTAAATGACAAGAAGACATAATTTATGGGACAGTTGAAAGAAAATAAAATAAAATAAAATATATGTTTACATTTAAATAAAAATAATGAAATAATCATTGGGAATAATGACATTTGAGGATCAAACGATTTAAGAATATCGAAATAAAGACCAAATGTATTTGCAATGTTATTTGACCGTTTTCATGATTTCTAATAGTTTGATACTCATGTTTTTAATTTTATATTCTTATTCTAATTATTTGTTACTTCTTAAATATTAATTTACACGTGAGATTCATTATTTTATTTTACTAGAAAATCATACTAGTGAATTCACTATTTGGATTAAATTGCTAAACAACATTTTTTTCTTATTTTAAATTTTCAAATTTATTGATTCTAATTATGATTAATCTACTAATTAAAGCTGGTGTGAGTGTCAAAAGTTCTAGTCACTTAAGTACCTCAATATTTGAAGATGGATATTATATATTATTGGCAAGCCTACTCCTTATACTTATATTTAAATAATATGACAATTCCATCTTTTGATCCTTACATATCATTTAATTTCCCTTTTGTTATTTTTCTAACAATGATAACAGAAATACGATATAAATAATTTGTCCCCCTTGAATATAAAAATAATGTTTTTCCCTACTCTTTGATTCAAAGAAAAAGGAGACACACGACACATAAACATGTTAATGTTAGATTCAAATCCAGAATTTTTTTTAAACAAGGAAGGTGACAACTAACGGTTGATTGGATATATAATTGTTCGAAACCTTGTTTTCTTTCCTCTTGTTTTTTTTTTTTTTTTGGCCCAGTTCGAGACCTTGTTTTCATGTCTGTCATATTATTTTTTTAAGAAAAAAATGAAACTCAATTTTATAATAAAATAATGTAGGTTTTAATACTTTTCCATTTAATTAAAAAAAAACTCTCTCCCCTCGCTATCTCTCCCTCCATAAATTATTTTAAAATATAAAAGAATTTTGAGTCATTACCAATTTTTCATATCAGTTGCTATTTTAATATCGTTGTTGTTTAAAAATAATATCTATAATCAATGTTCATATTTAAGTTAAATAGTTGAAATACTAGTTTTTTTAAAAATGTTGTATGATATTAGATAATAAAAATTTTCTGCCAATAATAATAATAATAATTTGAGTTTTTCAAAGTATAATGTAAATAATTGATAAAAAAGATTAAAATTTCCCAATTACATATGCTTCTCTATTGTTAAATAAATATGGGTGCGTTTATACTTATATGCCATGTCAATTTTTTTTTTAAAAAAAGAACTATCAGTTTTGCGATATTTCATGAACATTCGTTTTGGCAAAATATTTCAGTATGCACATTGCCCTGCACTAGCTTGAGTTATTTTATGCCTTTTGGTTTCATAACTTGAACTTCATATATTAAAAAGAGCAAAGAATCCAATTGTTAAAATATATATATATATATATATATATATATAATGCAAATATGAATTTAACTGTCAACAAAAATAAAATGTATTTAAGAACTCATAATTCATAATATTAAGAGTCAAATAATATGTCAAAAATAAAAGCCTCTTTTTTCAGAAATTTCAAAATTAAGTTATTTATTCATAAATTTAAATTAATTATATTTATATATAATGTAAAACATTTTAAAAACATTTATTGATAACAAGTCATGAACAGTCATTTTTCATTTTCTCTATTATCAAGAGGGACAATCAAACAAAAACAAAAACAAAAAGGGCAAAACAGATTAGGACAATGTCAATCCCAATAGAAAATAATGCTCCGAGCACTTTGAAAGTGGTCGCTTTTGTTAGGGCTCAAGACTCAGTCTGACTTCAAGATTTTTAATTTGGAAAATTTAAAATTTAGATGCAATATTTATAAGAAAAATATAAAATAAAATAATGCCATTAAATACGTCGTTGTGCTCCAAATGATCCGCATTCATGATTTAAGCCACTATTGACACATCATCGTCATCATTCATGAATAGTTCCATTAGGGAGAAATTCTCATATAGACCCAATGTATCACGTTATTTGTGATATATGCAATTAAAAGATTTTAAGTTATCTAAATAAAATTTTACGTGACATTATTTTAATTGATTTTATTCTTATAATAGCATGTATATTTAATTTTTTATTTTTTTTACTATCATTAATGTCAGAATTAATTTATATTTAATGTTACATGAATGTTATATTTTTATTAAATAAATTATAAATGATGTGGTACACCCGATATTTAATAATTTTTCTGTGTAAGAATGATTTATGATATTTTATCGAAAAAAAATTCTGATATTGTAACTTTTAGATTTTTAATCAAAAGTGACTTTTTTGGTCATCAAATCAAAAGTGACTTTTTTGGACAACAAATTAAAAGCGGCAGACACGATCATGACGACCGATCGAATTATCAAGGCGCCATTATGTGGTTGGTAAACAAAACGATATGCAGCACATGTGACATTGAAATCGCATATAGGTTAGAATCGATTTTTTTTTTTCTTGTATTAAAAAAATGTCGATTTTTTTAAAATAGAAATTAGGAAAAGTGATAACGTGAGAATTGATTTTAATAATATTGCTTTTGTGTGCATGAGGATTTGAATTTAAATTTGAATCAAATACATCATTTGAATCCATAAAATCATTGTATTGAAAACCGGACCGGACCGGCCGGATCAACCCGGAAACCGGTGACCCGGTCCCTTGTCCGGTCTGGGTTTACTCCTAAACCGGTGAGGGGGTGAACCGGTGTAACCCGGTCAACCCGGGGTCAACCCAGTGTAACCCGGATAACCCGATGGGTTGACTGGGTTAACCGGGTCATGATTTTTCAGACAAAAATCCCCAAAACGACGTCGTTTTGGGGGATTTCTTTTTTTTTTAATTTTCTTTCGGTCCAAATCCAGAGCCCATGGTATGAAGCCCAGACGCGGACGGAAGCCAGACAGCACCAGCTTTCCGCCTTTCCCTTTCGTGACTTACGTCTGTGTCTTACCGTCTCTCCTCAGTCCTCTCTCTCGCCCTAATCAGCGTCCGACTCTTCGACCCTCCTCTCTCGCCTTTCCCTGTCTCCGACCATCCGTCCTCTCCAGCTCTCTCTCTCTATCTCTGCTGTTCGGTCTCTCCTTTAGCTCAGTGTACGACTATCGTCTCTTAGCCTGATCGATCTGAAATCTCAGCCGGTCAGTTCGTGACAGCTCGGTGTACGCAGCTCGCATTTTGCTTCAGGTTAGTCACTGTTGATCGTGCACAACTCTGTTTTTTGTTTCGTGATTCAGCTTAAGTGGTCGACTCTGTTGCTCGTGATTTGTTTCTTGCTTGTTCGGCAGATCATTTTGTATGTGTGAAACTTTCTGGTGTTTTGTGTTTTTCTAGTTTTAAGGTTTCTTTACTGTTAATTTGTGCTTTTATATTGCTTCGGAAATGAAGCTATATGTATGTACTAGTTTAGTTTCATAATCATCTGTGGCTTTGATAATATAATGTTTGATCTTGGCTTCGGATCTAGGCTTTCTTCTGGTAATGATTTTGTGTTTGATCTTGTTTGACAATATAATGTCAGTTTATGGTTCTGTTTAATATTTCAAGTAAGTATGGAGAGGACTTTGAATCTGACAGCTCAAGCCTATGCTTCATGACTTTGTAGATCGATCATGTCCAAGCCCTTTAAAATTAAATAGGGATTATTGATGGCGCTTTCTGATCTTTTCCTGCTCTGTGATCTGTTTATCTTGTTGATGATTTGGGGGTTATATATGTTGGTTGGGAAAATGAGATCTTTGCACGTGAATTGCTATTATATAGATTGCAATCTCAAGGCACATGTTTTATCCTCTGCTCAGGTTCATACTGTGTGTGCATTTTAAAAATGTTGTGATTTTCTATCTTAATTTTGAACTACGGATTGCACTATGTTATAGATAGGGCATATCTAGCTTCTTATTTTTCCTTCTTTCTTTGTGGCCAAACTTGAAAACTATGCAGTCAACACTGAATATGACTAATCAGCATTTGTGTGGAAAAATGAAATTGAAGCTTAGTCATTATTTTAGCTTGCAGGTTAAAATATAATTATTGCATTGATCATGGATATTGGAAGTAATCCTAGTAGTAGTGATAGAAATGAGAATCCTACCTCCAATTCCAATGATCCCCCTCCTAGTGGTAATGATTCAACATATGAGGCCCCATCTATGCGTGGAAAAACTGATCCTGCTTGGGCACATGTTGCCTTAAGAAAAGAAGGCAAGAAAAATATATATACTTGCCTTTATTGTGCATCAAGCTATGGAGGAGGTGGGATTAACAGAATGAAGCAACATCTTGCTGGTGTAAGTGGTCAAGTAGCTTCTTGTAAAAAAGTTCCTCATGATGTACGTCACAGAATGGTAGAGTCTTTGAAAGGTGGGAGAAAAAGGAAGGTTGATGATAGAAAAGAACAAGAACAAGAACAAGTAGACATAGGGGACCTTGAAACTAATGATCCAATTGCTCCTACTCCAATTAAGATAGTCCCTGAGAGAGGTGCCAATAAGAGGCAAGCTTCTACTATTTCAGTTGAGAATTATTTTGCCCCTAGGACAACTCCTGGTTCCCAGCCTGGCATCAAAAGTGTGTTTGCAACAAAAGAAGCACAGTACAATGCAAAAATGGCTATTGCTGAATGGGCTATCATCAATTGCATTCCATTTAATGCATTAGATTGCCCTTCATTTCAAAAAGCCATAGATGCTATTGCTTCTATTGGGCCAGGGTTTAAAGCCCCTAATGCTTATGAATTTAGAGTCAATTTGTTGACAGATTGGAAAAAAGAATGTCAATTACTTATTGAGAGTCATCGGGCTAAATGGAAAAACACTGGATGTACACTCATGGCTGATGGTTGGACAGATGTGAGGCAGCGAACTTTGATTAATTTCTTAGTCTATTCTACACATGGAATGGTTTTTGTGAAATCTGTTGATGCATCAGATTTGGTAAAAGATGCTAGGACTTTATTCTCGTTGTTCTGTGAAGTGATTGAGTGGGTTGGTCCTAAGAACATTGTTCATGTAGTGACTGATAATGCTGCAAATTATGTAGCATGTGGCAAGTTGATTAAGGAAAAATATAAAAATATTTATTGGTCACCTTGTGCTGCTCATTGTTTGAACCTTACTTTAAAAGATATAGCAAGCTTGGACAATGTGTCAGCACTTGCAACTAAGGCATCAAAGATAACTGTTTTTGTTTATAATCATATGATCTTGTCATGGCTAAGGAAAATATCGGGTTGGAAAGAAATTGTACGTCCTGGTGCAACAAGATTTGCTACTACATTTATTACGTTGCATAGCATATATATGCATAAGCATGACTTGCAAGCTTTGGTGACTGATAAGCACTTTGTGGATCACAAATTGTCAAAGACTTAAGCTGGAATAATTGTTACTGCCATCATATTAGATAATGGCTTTTGGGGTGATTGCTTAGAAATTGTGAAGGTTGTATCTCCTCTTATAAAGTTGTTGAGAATTGTGGATTCAGATGAGAAGCCTTCTTTGCCTTATGTTTATGAAGGCATGCAAAGGGCAAAAAAAGCAATTAAGGCAACATTCAACAATAAGAGAGATTATTACAAGCCTTACACAAGCATTATTCAAGCTCGATGGGATAAGCACTTTAAGACAAATCTTCATGCAGCGGCATATTTGTTGAATCCTGCATTCTTGTATGATGAGAATTTTGTTCACAAGAGAAGGTTAATGGATGCAATGCTTGATGTGTTTGAGTCAAATGAAAGTGAAGAAATTGATTATATTGTAATGATGAAGCAATTGAGCTTGTATCGTGATCGTAAAGAATCTTTTGACAAAACTTCATGTGAAAGAGCAGCTCAGAAATTAGATCCTTGTGAGTATTCATATTTATTATTTAACATGTCCATGGTAATTCTAGTTATTATATGATTAACATCTAACTAAGTGTCTTTTATTTGCAGATGAATAGTGGTCATTCTATGGAGGTTCTGTTCCAGAATTGCAAACTCTTGCAATGCGTATTCTTAGCCAAACTTCTTCTTCTTCTGGCTGTGAAAGAAATTGGAGTTTGTTTGAACGCATCCATACCAAAAGATGAAATAGATTACAACATCAAAGATTGAATGATTTAGTTTTTACAAATTATAATCTGCGATTGAAGCATAGGTAAAAATTAGAGTTTTAAATGGCAATGCTTTTATAATTTATAATTGAATATGAATTTTATTATTGTTTATCATATTTGATTATTTTATTTTTTTTCAAGGAGTCAATTGAGGAAAAATAAAAGTTATGATCCAATTGATTATGAATCAATTGACAAAATTGACTTTTGGGTGGCTGAAGAAGAGGAAGAGCCAGCTCCTGAGTTTGATTCTCAAGAAGTTGCAAATCTTGAAAGTGTCATTCACAATGAAACCATAGCTACTCCATTAATCCTTGAGAGGGATTATGAAGGTTTATTAAATTTACTATCATGTTTAATACAAGTATATGAATTTTTTGAAATGCCATTCATTAGTATTAATTTCTATTTGTTGTATTGTAGGTGATGAATATATGAATGTTCAAGAGCCCCCATCTTTGCCTGATGTTGCTAGTGGTTCTGGTTTTTCTCATTCCAGTCCTAATGTCTCAATGCCTGGAGATTTGAATGAAGTTAATGATGACTTTGGTGTTGGTCAATATTAGTTACCATGGACATGTTAATCATATGATAGAAAGGTTGTCATTGTAAGGATAGATATTTGAAGTATTGTATTTGGTTGAATGTTCTTATAATTAATATTTTTTTATTTAAATTGTATTATTTTAATCATGACCGGTTTGCCACCGGTTCAACCCCGGTTCAACCCTAATTGAACCACTAACCCGTGACCCAGTGTCATGACCGGTTCAATGACCGGTCCGGTTTTACGTACCTTGCATAAAATTTATGATTCCCAAATCTAAATTCATGTTTTTTTTTTTGTTGCATTTTTTGTAAGATATGATAGCCGCCCAAGAGGGAATTAATTGAGTATCTTTCAATTTTTTGTTTAGAGCTCTTAATTTCAAAAACTTTGAAGATGAATGATGAGAGGATAAATAGAGCTAATGAAAATGAGAGAAATAAAGAGCAATATACAGGGAATTTATCCCAACTCAGTCCAATCCATTTACCCTATGTCTAGTCTTTAGGAATCTCTTGAGATTTTTCACTATAACCACAAGTTCAAACTTGTGAAGTCACAATACAATGTTAGTCTCAATGTTTGTCTCACTCTCCTTTATAAAAATCTCACAAGCTCAATTTGAACACCGGTGAAGCCACTTATAATTTTTCAAACTCACAAGTCTATTTCTCTATTTCTTATAGAGATAATTTTTGCACCCACTTAAGATATATCCCCTGATCTTGAGTCTGTTTAAATAAATAATAGAGAATTTTTTTTTATCACAAAGTGATCCTAAAACAAACTCACTCATTGATTAGATAAATATATTGAGATACAATCATATAAGATAATAGCATAGGGTGGTTGAAAAAATTGAATACAATTGATGGCTGCTCCTCCTTTTTTTTCATCTTCATAAATGAATCGTATTTACAGTTGTATCCATGAAGTATCCACTAGAATCATTCAGTTGTTTGTTGCATCTTATGGAGTGTTCATTTGGCACAATCAATTTTTCATTGCTCTTCAATCTTCAACATTATAGATGTAAGTGTAGGTTTGTAGCTTTACGATGGTATTATTACCCAAAAGGATAGTAGAAAATGGTAGTTTTTCTGACAAGTTTATGCTACATCCAAAAGCAAATGCAAAGGCTTTCATGCATATTAATGCTTAGATAACATTTAAGATGAATATTGGTAGAGCAAAGTTATATCGGTATAATGATCAATTAAAAGATTGGATAAGTGTTTAATCTAACACATGGTTGTGCTTAAAAGGAATTCTAGATTGGTAAAAAAATGAACACAACACTTGGAAGTTGAAAGAATTAAGATTAGAGTAAGCTTCGAATTGCTCTATATTGCTCTATAAAAGGAATAGAAATAAGGCTAAAATCTTCAAAAATATACTGGTACGAGTGAGTGATACCGATATGAATATGAAATCTTACTGAGGAACAACATATAGGTATGTAGAAAATATATCGGAATGTCTTTACATAAAAGACAGTGATAGCTCAAGCGATATACCAGTGTGTAAAAAATATACCCTGAGGAATCATTCATACCACAATGAAAATATATGCAAGTAAAAGAGAATAAGAATGATAAGAATGGGTTATACCGGTATGGAAGCAAGATATCGGTATGAGGATGAATAAACAAAAGTTATACTTAAGGATGAATATCCATAGCAGTATGATGTCAATATACAGGTATAAGGCAAAAATACTGGTATGAATTGAACAAGCGCAGACATAGGGGTATAAAATGGACAAACGGGTGTGAAGCTAATGTATTGGTATGAAGAAGTTATGAACCAATGATGACTTATATGGGAATAAACAGTTTATATCGGTATAGATGACAAGAAAGTATGGGTCAATTTCTAAAAGTTATAACTCTTTCAATTTACATCTAATTAGGCAAATGACCTATGCTTGGAAATATCTAGATGTCTAGTTTCCAAAGAGATAAAACCCAGTAGAAAATGCAATGTATATAAAGAGATATGAGCAAAATAGTGAGCAAAGATCAAGAACAAATTTCTGCAGGTCTGGAAGCTTCAAAAACCAATTTTGAAAACCCATAACTATTTCATATAAATTTTATATTGAATTAAATAGATGTATTTGGAAAGCTTTACAAGTCTATTTTTATATAAAAGAAACTTCATACCAAATGAATTTGTATATTATACACTGCGTGTGATCCTTTGCACCCACAAAATCACTTTGTTTGTGATCCCTTCGCCCTGCTTATGTTTCAGGTTCTTTTCTTCAACAAAAGATATAATAATATATTTATATGCTAAATAGATGTTTTTGGAAAGCTTTACAAGTCTGTTTTTATATGAAAGAAGCTTCATACCAAACAATAAGTTTAACATACAGATTAAAAAGCCAAAAAATATTATACTTATCAAGACCAAAGCTATGATGGATTGAAGTTTGTATGTTTTCATTCACTTAAGATCATCTTTGTCTTTATCTTTATGTTCTTCATTTTTGAGTGAAGCTTGTTAAAGATAACTTTAATGGCTTCCTCTTTATGCTCATTCATATTTCTATTTTTAATAACCTTCAATAATATGCCATGAATGAAGTGGTTAATCCAAATATTAATAAGCATGGAAATAAATATATAGAAGTGATTATGTCATGGCACACATATGAGAAGTCTTATATATTATAAATATTTAGGTTATGAAAAATAACACTTTGAACACTCTTGGATATATAATCAATTTAAGATAAAAAAAAAATATGATGGTATGAAATAACTTTTATATACATAAACTATTTTTTCAAATCTCATATAGTATGAAATAATATAAATAAAAATACTTTAAAGCACTTATTCTATAGTTATAATTAACGACAATATATATGAAAACAACCAACACATATAGTTAAAATTAACATAATGTTATAAACCATTATGTCAATTAATTTTAAATCCTTCTTGCATCTTATTCTAATTATTTAATGGTCTAGCTATTCTAATCTTCTCATGTCTTTCCATTTTCATTTTTCATCTCATTTATTTTGTTATCTGTGAATTTAAATTTTCTAATACTACCGAAATTTAAATCCAAATTGAAGATGGATTCTTTTTAATTATAAGATTTTAAATTTAAATTTAAATCCATGATGAATTCTTTTTATAATTCAATGTGAAGGCCGTTACCATATGATTGCCTTCGCCTTTATTTAAAATATATGGAAAATGAAATCGCGTATTTCTTTTTGTCAAAAAGAGATCATTTTGTTGATATAAAAAAGTATTACACACTAATAATAAAAAGCAAAAAAATAGCAACTAGAGTGTGACCTCAAGAAAAGTAAAGCCTTAGCGTACATTCCAATGCAAGGGAAAAAGGAACCGTGTATGTTGGAATCTAGTTTGGTTGAAGGCAGAGACTTTAATGGAGAGGGAAAAAAAGGGACTTTAATGAAGAGGAAGGCAGGGACTTTGTTTGGTTTGTGGTAGAAGAGAGAGGGGAGAAAAAATAATTACATATGAATAATTATATATTTATCTTATTAAAATTATCTTTCCTTACTTTTTATAAATATTTAATAAATTATACTTGTGATTTTTTTAAAAAATAAGGATAAAAAAATGCATTCAACTTTTAATAATAAGCTTGGCATTATATATATATATATATATATATGTATAATATAATATGAAATGGGGCCATTAGAACTTGTAACACATGCAATATTAAAATTATTTCTTATAATTTTAATAAACTTTTATTTTAGTAATATGACATTAAAAATAAAGATAATCTTTTAAAAGATTGCCAAAAAGAAAAGATAATCTTCTAACATGCTGTTGAAAAAATATTTTTTAAAAATATTATAATAAAAATTTAAAATATACATTGTCCATACTATATCTGAATAGTGAACTAATAAAAATTATAAATTTTTAACATTAAATTTGGATAATTCATATTAAAATTGGACTACCCAGATTGATGATCATATTTTTAAATTTTTTTATAATTTTTTTATTGTAATAACTATAAAATAAAAACAAAAAATAAAGATATTAAATATAAACCATTCGAATTAAATTTGAACAGTCCATATCTTCTTGAAGGTACAGAGGAAGGGATATGCAAAAAAAGAAGTCGTGTTCATCTTATTTGGGGAGGGGCATTTTTGGATTATGAATATATATTATGAGTAAATTAGTCATAATATAACAAAATTATACCCTTCCTTTCATAGCTCCCCATTTTAGAGGGGAGGGAGATAAAATGTTTGAGAAAATTTTCCCTCCCCCCCCCCCTTTTATTTTCAATAACCAAAGAAGGAAATGAGAGCAAAATCTTTCCACTTTCTTCACTCGAATCAAACAATGTAATTGCTTTTGCCTTTATTTTTAAAAAACGTGGAAAATGGAACCGAGTTTGTCCCCCCCCCCCACAAAAATAGATCATTTTAAAGCAAAATAAAAAGAAACCGTGTATGTGGGAATCAAGCTTTTAGAGGAGGCGATTGCGTGGGAATTCATTTGAGTAAATTAGTTTTCTTTTGTTTTTGTTTTTGAAATAATTCACTGGGAAGGTGGTTACATGTGAACGCCTACTTCACTTTTATTTTTTAAAAATATGGAAAGTGAAGTCGCTTACTCAGTAAATATAATATACTAGTTCGCGTAACTCAGAATGTCATGCCCTTCACAAGTGTCAATCCCCAATGTTTCTTTTCTTTTCTTTTTCTTTTTTTCTTTTTGGCTAGAAAGCGAATCCTCGATGTGAATGTTAGCAAGTGTGAGTTCCCAATATTTTTTACCACAATTTCCTTGAACTTACTAAGCTATGTAAGTTCTTGATGCAAAGTTGTCCACGCGAAGGTAACCTGCATTGATTGAAAAGGAAATGCAATGCGAAGGAACGCGGTGGTTCCTGTGATCAGAGTCTGAAAGCAAAGTAACATTTTAGTGTTTTTACAGCTGATGATATGTTTTTACAGCTGCCCGCTTTCATCTCGTGAGAAATGGAGGAGGAAGGAGTCGACAGTGCTAAACCAGGAAGAAGAAGAGCTTGCGAACAGAACCTCCAGCTCTGGAAACTTAGCTCTTCATGCACCACTAATAGCGTAGACGAAAATAGAGGAGACAGAGTAGAGAACATAGAAGACGACGAAAAGTTGGGAAGAGGGAGAACTCGCAATTCGGAACTCTAGCAGTTGGCGACAAGTTGAAGACGGTGGAGGAAGGTCCGAGAGTGAGGGTTTCAGCTTCCTCTCTTTCACTTTGCATTGGAAATGAGGTTCTAGGGGATAGATGCATGCGTGAATTCATTTTGACTTTTTTTAAAAACTAAAAAATTAGGGGCAAAATGGTAGTTTCCAAAGCCTCTGGCGAAAATAAACATGAAACCTTGTGTTTGAGATGTGTTTTTTTCTACATTGCACTGCAAATTCAAACTTTTCAAATTAAATTTATATCTTTAAAAATTATTAAATTTAAATTTTAAATTTAATGTAGCAGTTCAAATTTGCACTGGTTTCTCCTCTGCTTTTCTTTACAGAGGAGAAAATCCAATTTCTTTATGTTTTAAATGATAGTAACTTCTTCTACTAGGACCAATACAGGCTGGTAATCACCATGTCATTTGATGAGAAGATAATTTGCAAATTATAATAGCATAACGGATTTTTTGTTGATATTACAAATTAAGAAAATTATATACACACACACAAAAACACAGTATCTTGTGAGAGTATATCATCAATCCCAAAACCATAAAGTCTCGTCTCTAAAGAAGATCCATGTTTAACCACTGGGCTATTTACAACATTATTTAATATCAATACAATACCAATAGAAGTTTTATGTTTTTAATTTTATATTTTTTGGGTAGAGTTTTTAATTTTTATAATAAATTGGCGGAAGGAACCCTTAGATTTTTTTTTAAAAAAAAAAACCAGGAAACATTTAGAGGTGAATTGTAAGGACTCATAGCAGGGACCCCCCTGGGGGACCAATCAGTGTTGTTGGGCTCAAATTCTTGAATGGGCCAACAATATTTACTTGTTTTTAGAAAAAGCCCAACTAATTTTGTAGAAAACTTGTTAAACTTGGCATTGCCTATTTTTACTATTTTAGGAATTTTTCTCCCTGTCTAAAGGAAGGGTAAATGTTTTTGAAATTGCTGCTACTTTTTACCTACGTGCAACCGATATTCAAAATCCTTCGAACTTTGACTAATTTAGATCCAAATAGGTTAGACACAAGAATGACAAGCTCTCCCTAATCTCTATGAAATGTGCATGTGACATGGTAGCCTAGTTTTGCCTAAGGCAATCAGGCTTGTTGGGCTGAGTTTTGGGCAAGACACCAAGTTAAGGTCAAATATATATATATATATATATATATATATATATTTATTTATTTATTTATTTATTGTTAAAATATATTTTTAATTCTTTAATTTCATGTGAGATTTTAATTTGACCTATTTATTTTATAAAGTATATTTTTAATCCTTTAACCCCAACACCATTAATTTTAAATGATTATTTTTTATTCTAATTATGGTTATTTTAAAAAAATAAATGTAATATGTCAACGTCTGATAATATATTATCAATATTTAAAAGTTGATTGTAACAATTGTTAGTTGATGAAACTAATGTTATTAAAGTTAAATAATTGAAAAGATATTTTATAATTAAGAAGTCAAAATGAAACATTGTATAAATTAAAGGACTAAGGTTTTATTTTTATTTTCATTTTTTTAAAACTAATTATTTTACTTAATATTTTTATGTATTGTGAGAAATACTTAGGTGAATTGAGTATATCATGTCATTTGCAGTCTGTCTAATAAAAACATAACATTTAGATGATATTTAATTTAATATAAATTGATTCTAATATTAATAATAGTGGAGAGAAAAAAAAATTAAGTATGCATTATGTTATAAAAATAAAATCAATTTAAAAAATGTCATATAAAATTTTATTTAGATTACTTGGAACATTTTAATTTGACATATTACAAATAACGTGATACATCCGATCTACTTATATATTTCTCTTGTATTATGTTGTTTTATGTTGATTATGGATATTTTTATGATTTCAATTTTTCTAATATTTTCAAAAATTTGAAAATTTTTTAACTTTATATCACCTAAACATAATTGATAATTGTTAATTATATATAATTTTAAAAATTATCACCTTAAATTCCAATATTATTTTTATAAAAAAATGTATTGAAATAATCATAATTATATTTTTTCATAGGTTGATAAAATTATTTTCATATTTTAAAATTACTTTTAAAATAGTTTTCGGGTTATGGCCAAAACTCGGCCAGAATATTCAGATGACCCAATGATCGAGTATGCATATTGAGCCCACCATAGGTTAGGATGAATCCTGGCATGGATTGATTTTTGTACATCCTCACCTATAGGTATTTAATTCAACCACACATGAGTTGGACTTTAAGAATTTGGTGGACTTAGATCAATACCCAACACGAAGACCTAATAAGAGGAAGCCTTAAGGCCTCGTTTGGTATAATTGAATAGTTTTTGATGGAATTGGAATTGGAATCGGAATCAGAATTGGAATAGAATTGAATTATAAAAGTATGTTTGGTATGTCAGAAAAATTAGATGGAATCCTTACATTACTTTTGTTTGGTATGCAAGACATGGAAATGGAATTATACTTAAAAGACAAAAATACCCCTATATAAAAATTAAAATAAAACATAATAAAAACTTAATTGTGTACCAATTTTTTTATGTATTTTATATATTAATGAAATATTATATAAATCATAGATTATATCGATAACTATTATTCACTAGCTTGGGCCAAACAAAAAGTTTTATCATCAGAGGGAACATTTTCTTAAAAATAAAATTGACAATGATTCCCATCCCTTCTACTTTAAAATAAATACACTAACACATAGATTTAGAAGAAAAATGTCAAACAAATCAATTCTACTTCTTATACCAACATATTATATCTAGTAAAATATTTTACAAAAAATATTATAAATATATAAATTATATACAAATATTATATATAATACTATCTTGTATCCATATTATAACGTTTTCATGTCACTAAGGATAAAGTTAACTATTTATCACATAAGTAGCATTTGTACAAAATGTCTGACTCAATTTCTTTGCCATATCTTCCAATGCACAATTTACCTACCATGGCAAAACCAAAAAATGAACTAAAGAAGTAGACTTGAGCACTTTACAATCAGACTTCCTATATATAAGGCAGCCACAACTATGTAATCAAAAAGGCTACCAACCATGACAGAGCCAAAAAAATATATCCATCATGGTTTACAATGTAGACTTAGCTACACTATAATACCCAAAAAGAAGCAGCATACATAACACATTTATGCATAAAGTATTTTGCGAACCACAGCTGCCTTAGCCTTATCTGGTAGGTTAGGAAATCCAACAAGAATTTTATCATCACCTATCATTTTAAGATATGCATCAGTGCGCTCATTGTCAGTAAGATCTTCAACCTTCAACAACTCATCATATAGAGCCTCTCTTCGTGCATCTAACATTGCTTCTCGAGCCAACTTGTCTAAACGAGCTCCTAATTGGGCAGAGGAATCCTTGATGTCTTGGGAAGTAGCTGCTAACATCTCTTTAAGTGCCTCAGTCAAAAACTCATCACGATCTTGACTAGTTCTTTTCCTTTTCTTAGACTTAGAAGTGCCAACATTTGTGTTTTCTGATGGATGGTCAGAGAATGTAATTGATGAATCCATCTCTAGTCCAATATCCACAGTATCTTCATCAACATTAGCAGTTATTGTATCAAACTCTGTATAAGCTTCAACCTCATGCACATCATTGCTTGAAAGTGACCCTTTTCCTACAGCTCTATCTTTTCCAAATATAGAGCATAGTGCATCAAAGAGAGGAAAGGGTTTGTTCTTGAAATGAGCAGCTTTTTTATGGCTCTACAAACATAAAATCACATAAAAATATCAATAGCTAGTAAGCTTACAAATTCAAATCTGCATCAATATTTATTATAAGTATAAAGCTGAAATAAAAAATATTTTTCTAGTAAAGTTTTACCTTAACATACTCATCCTACACTTCCTTGTCTGCTGTGACACATTGTTTGTCAGGGTCCCAACCAAATCCAGATGTGTTTGAGCCATATAACATATCATATATGACCTGCCAACTAGTCTTCAAGGTCTTCAAACGAGATTGAATGTGAGGTACAGCTAGTATCCCACATCCAGGTGACTTCTCCTCTATCATTCTTTGCAACTTCTTTAAACCTCCAGCCTTAAACCCATTATCTGCAACCAAGGTCCCATCATCACGAAGCTGAAGCAAGGATTGCACAAGAAGAGAGTCTTCCTCAGGTGTCCAGACATGATGGGTTGACTTTGTGGAATCGCCACCTGTCATGATCTTACTTAAACAGCAAAAATTATCATTAGTTTTAACATACCATAACACAATCAATTGCTATGAAGATAAAATCTCATACATCACAATATTGCAAAGAAGGCAAACATCACCTAATAAAACCATTTATAATGTTGTCATTACACAAAACATACATCCACAAATATTCAACTAGAATTCAAGTCACATCTAGATTTAGGTGTCTCTTCTAATGCTCACATACTACCCCTATGACTCATAAGTTCAACAAACATTTCATTTGCCAAGGTATCATGAAAGTTAGCCCATGCATTTGATGTCTCAATTGTTTGAATATAAGGTATCTCCATATCATTGGTAGTTGTCTCCAATGCCTCTATCTCAATATCCAGTGGATCATCTCCTTGTCGACGGATCAAATTATGAAGGAGACAACACGCTATGATGACCCGATTATAGACTTGAGCAGGGTAGAATGAAGGACTCCTAAGAATAGCCCATCGTAGTTTCAACATTCCAAAACATCGTTCAATAACATTACGCGCAGATGAATGCCTCATGTTGAAGCACTCACGTGGAGTTAAAGGCTGCCGTCCATCCCTCCACTCACTTAAGTGGTATCGCTGACCTCAAAATGGGGCAAGAAATCCTTCACAATTTGCATACCCCGCATCAACCAAGTAATATTGGCCTACAAGAATAAAAGAAATTAACTTTAAGCTCATTACTACATTGATCATTACTTAAAAATAAATTAACATTACCTTGAGGCACTTTCAAACCATTCCTACGACTAATAGCATCTCGCAAAACTCTACCATCAGCTGCTGAGCCTTCCCAACCCGTTAAGACATATATGAATTGTCCATCCGGAGAGCAAACTCCCAACACATTAGTAGTTATTTTCCCCTTTCGATTTCTATATCTCGCTTTGTCAGCCATAGGCACCTTCATTTTAATATGGGTTCCATCAAGAGCACCTAAACAATGCTGAAAATAACAAATAATTAATTAAAAGAATAGATAAATTATATCATTAATAAAAGTTATGAATTAAGATATGAGATTACCTTAAACCACCTCCATTTTTCGTCTATTGAATCCTCAGCAATTGGCTCAGGTTTCTTTAGGAGGTCTCGATTCAGTTTCATCATAGAAGTTAAGACCAAATTAAAATACCTACTAATAGTTTCACCAGACCTCCCAAAATAAAATCGTATAACTCTATTTTTTAAATGATGTGCAAGGATATGTAAGAACATTGCCACTTGCTCATCAACTAGCATGTTTTTGGTTGGTTTCAAACCTCCTATGACATCAAGCATAAGACATAGCTTGTCGAATGTGGCTCTATTCATTCTAAGCTGGTTATAACAAGTAATGTCACTGTTATACACCAAGTTTCGTAAGTGGACTCTATTAGCATAGAAGTCTACCGTATATGGCCTTCGACTAATGCGATTCCTACGCAAGGCAATAGTGGTACAAATGGCAAAGAAACATTGATACATAGAGTGAAGAACATGCATCCACCAAATCATCAAATGAACTATCACATCTCTCATTTCTGGATCCATAATTGTAGGTTATAAATTTTAAAATATCAGGATAAAAAATTCTAAAACATCTAATAAATATCACTTCAATAGACTAGAAACAGTATAAAATTCTATAGGCAACAAAAACAGTATAAAATTCTAACATAAAGCCCATATTTAATAGACTAGAAAATCATGAAACTCTAGTAAATCATTTTAAATTAAACACACATTGTTGGTAAAGAAAAATGTTGAATACCACGAATAGGGTTATGTTAGCGTCAAACCTGGATGGACCAGAGTCAATTTTCCTTATTACATGAGCAAAGAGGATTTTGAGTTCATACTAAGAGCCATGGAGTTTATAGCAGACTATGGCCAGAGATTCCTGCCCTTGTACAGCTTCAATCTGAGAAATGGAAGCTGGAGACCGAAAACAGAGGAACTTGGGAAGCATAACAGACTATGGCCATTCAGTTTTTGGAAAAGGAAGGGACAACGAGAAGGAATGAGTCATACTTAGAAGCAGCAATGTATATGGCTAATCGGCTCCCAAAGTTCCCAGCTCAAGAGTATCATACCAGGGCACATGGACCCCAGTGTCCTTTATTTCAGAGTTTAATATTCTTTTTGCCTATACTGCATGCATACTTTATGAATCTACAGAAATTTGATGACACGATGAGACAAGGAATTAATGAATGCTCTTTCAGCCTTCATGCTGTCATTATGGTCTTACCCTCAATATTCCTTCGAGTTAAACCCATATTAGTGAATCATTAAAGCATTTACGTACTTCTGGACTTCATTGATAAAGTCTGTTTGATTTATATTATGTGTAGCCTAATAAGAATAAATAACTAGACAATTCACCCACTGGGAAGCAACTCCGTGGCATTTGATTTGTTTAATTCTAATTAACTATAACCATTGAGGATAACGTACCAATAGGAGCAGAACAGATGTACAGTGTAGAGCAGGTTATTTGGGAAGAGTATAGTTGCATCTATGGTCAAACTATTGACAAGTCTATTTGTTTTTTTATTTGTAACGGGAATATCTACAAAGGATGAAAGGATAAGACAACTCACACATGAGTTATAGGATGCAAGGCACAAGAGAAGAAACAAAATTCAAAGATTCAGCAAAAAAATAAGGGAAAGATTCAGCAAGGCACAGCTTGTGAAAAGCTTGCGAGATCTCCAAAATATACACACTTGAAACATCTATGTACAATAACGGGTTCCCTCAATAATGCAATCTACAACGTGTTTCTTTTTAGGGCAAATAATGCAGTCTAGTTAATGTTAAATATAATCAAGACGATGTCTCTGCATCAAACCGAAGCCTATGACAACCTGAAGTCCCACTAATATTTAAAATATTCTATTTATTTGTCACTATATGTATATCAGGGTGGAAAAACAACTTTCAAGTTTCAAACCTAGCTTCATAGCTTCGATTGATACCCAGAAAAGAACCTAGCTTAGACAGGGGAGGCGGCCGAAGGATATAAAATCACGGATGAAAAAGAATGGAGGAGGGAAGTCGATTGATACCCATACCTTGGTCGCGAAATCCAAAATATTTGTCCAGACCGCGTCGTTTGTCGTCCGGCTCGTCTTCGATCTCACCACAGCTCTCGCCTTCTCTCGGTCTGCAACAAATCTTGCTTTCTCTCGCTCTGCCGCGACCAAGCGTGAGTGTGAGTGAGGTGAGGGTTTTATTTTTTTGAGGGCAAATTTGTCTTTTTGAAATTTGTATGAGGGCAAAAGTGTCTTAAATATTACAATTCTATAGAATTGCTCCCAATTCCATAGATTTATATAAGGAATTCAATTCAGCTTTTTTCCATAGAATTAGGATTCCCAAGAATTATAATTCATATCTACCAAACATCACTTTATTCAGATTCCTATCCCAATTCCATTTCCATCTTCACAATTCCAACCTACCAAACATGGCCTAATTTTCTCCAATTTCATTTGGAAATTCCAAGTGAATCACCCTTAAGGCCTCACTCACAAGGGCATGAGCTTTTAAATTTAATTTTTTATTTTTTTACCTCTATTTTAAAGTTTGATTCTTATTTAAAGGGTTCAAGACAGAGTTCATAAGTCTTGTTCTAAAAAAAATTAAAAAAAATTAAATATTATAAATTAATTAAAACATTCTAAAATTTTAAAAAATAAAAATACTTATAATATTTTAAAAATTAAACAACATACATGTAGAAGTTTAATAAAAAAATTTAAATCTTGATGAAAAAGAAGTCTATTTTTTATAAATACATAAATATAATAATTATAAAAAATAAAAAATTATACTATATATTGATATTTATTAAATTATATTAAATAAATTTTAAAATAAATTAAATTTAATAATAATAATATAATATGTATATGATCAATGTTTCAGGCGAACAAGTCTTTTTTAACTTCAAATGCATGTTTCATAAAAAAAAAAATCATAATATAATAGAGTTTGAAAGGTTGTTTGAATTTAAGTATTTTCTCTACAAAGCTTACTAAGATCAAGTTGCCAAACTTAATTATTTTTAATTTTTTTTTAAATCCAAATCATATTTAAACAGAATTTTTAAGTCCGGTTCTTTAGATCGGGTTTTATTCTCGGCTTTAAGGGTGAGGAGGGGATAGGACATTCGGAATCCCCTTAAACCCTAGTTCTTCAAATGCTGTGTTTCACTGCTCAGTCCGCTCAACCCCATCCATGGCTTTAGCAAGAACCCTCCTCTCTCGCCGCTTCCATTCCCTCCTGGAACCGCACAATCTCGCTTTTTTTGACCACATTGTCTATTCAAACCCTCTTTGCTCCCGCAAAAACCCTCCTTTCCAGCCCAGACCCTTCGCCTCTTCTTCTCAAACCCTCGCAGAATCAGCCCCAACGCATGGCATAAAGACGTTGCATTTTCTCTTTCAGGAACCTTCAGAACAGAGAATCGATTACAGGAAGCTCGTAGGAAAATCGAAACAAGGTGAAGCCACGGGTTTATCGGAGAAAACTGGGCATAAGGATAGTGAAGTTGGACGCCTCAAGAAGAAGAAGCCGGAGAAGAAATTGAAGAAATCCGGGGAATCGAACGTAAAATTCGTGCAAGAAGAGGAGGAGGAGGTGGAAGGAAAATCAAAACAAGGTAAAGCCGTTTGTCTGTCGGAGGAAACAGAGCATAAGAAAAGTGAAGTTAGACGTGTAAAAGCCGAAAAGAAGAAGCGGAAAAAGAAGTTGAAGAAACCCGTGGAATGGAAAATAAAATTCATAGAAGAAGAGGAGGTCGTTGTGGGGGAGCTCCATGGAAAACCAACACATAGTGAAGCCGTGAGTTTGTCGGAGGAAACGGAGCACGAGAAAAGTGAAGTAGGACGGGTAAAAGACGAAAAGAAGAAGCCGAAGTTGAAATTGAAGATTCCCGGGACAGGGAACGTTAAATTCATAGAAGAGGAGGAGGAGGTTGTTAAGGGGGAGCAACCGAAGAAACCTGAGCCGAAGAGATTGTTTGATTTGTTTAGTCAAGGGGAGAAATCGAACGAAGCTTATTCGAGGAGATTTAGTCCTGCAATCGCTCCTGTTGAAACGCATAAGGAAGTGAAACAGAGGGAGCCAACTGGTTCGAAGAAGGTTTCGTTGGACATGGAACTATTCCTGTCTTATTTATACAAAGAAGGGTATTTTAGAGACGCCAACTTTGTCAAGAGTAAAAAGTTTGATCTTAGCTGGTTCGATAATGATTATGCCCGGTATTATACATTGTCTGCTGCGCAAAAGTTAGGCAAAGACAAGCAAGAAATCTCCAAGTAAGATAACATTGTTCTGCTCATCCAATGTTGCATGGTTACACCTACATTTGTTTTAGTTATGGAGAAGATGCATATTGAAGAATATGAGCATGATTTATTTTTTTTACAGTTTTTGTCTTTCTTTAGTTACCAGCATTACTCTCTTTTATGTTCTAATGCTTGAAGTTTACTCAGTTGAATGTAGATGTTGATTGTCAATTCTTTCCGCTATGGTGATTAGGTTTGGATTTTAGAAGTTTAAAGTTAACCTAAACCTATAGTGGGCAGCTTAAGAGTTGCCATACTCCACTCTTCTTGGTGGGCTGTTTTTACTTTCTGTGTATAACTGGTCTACTATTTGACTTATCGAAACATGTTTGATGTTGAATAGGGTTTCAATGCTTGTCTTAAGCCAGAAATATGGGTATTTCAGGGTTCCCTCTTAATTTTTTGCCTGTCCTTTAAAGAATTATAGTTTGAGTATGTTTGTTCTTGATGTTCATTTTATTTGTTGGAACTTTTTTTGTGAAACTATCAATTTGAGTTTATTTGTTTTCTTTTTCTTTTTTCTTATTTTAACTTCTAAATTTTCTTTGTGATACTTTTGCTTCCTCTGGCTTTGGCTAAATATCCACAAAACTTACTCTGCCTCAGAATAATTAGATGAATATAGATCTACTGATCAATGATGTCGCAAATTGAATTCTTTGAGATTTGTAAGTCTAGATTTCTGCTAGTGACTCTCTAGACAATTTGTTAGTGTTGTTCTGATTATTCAACCAATGAAGGAAATATAAAGAAGTTATATTATCCTGTTTGCATGAAATTAGGTAAATTAATTTTTTTGTACAAATTAGGTGAATTACTCTGTTGAAGGAGGAAGCTGCCATAATGATGTCTAATCACTGGCTTTGTAGCTTTCAATTT